AGCCTGACACCAGTGGGAGTGTGCCCAAAGGGAAGTTTCCCTCTTGCTCCAAAGCCCCCATCCCCACAAAGCAGAGGCAGGTCACCCTGGACCAGTGGTAGAAAGCCGCAGACAAAGGGGGGGCACATTGCAAGGGCAAGCAAGGTCACCCAGAGCATTGGGGAGATGTTAGCTCTGGATGGCCAGCCTTACTCCTCAGTTGAGCGGCCAGGGCTTTGGCAGCTCATGGCACTCGTGGCCCCGTCCTACCAAGCACCCGCACACACAATCTTTAGCAGGATGGTGGTGCCCTTCCTGTATGATGCATGCAGGGTGTACTTGAGGGAGAAGCTGCACAAGGCAGGGCCACAGGTAGCCTTGCACTTCACCTCCAACGTCTGGAGCAGCTGGGAGATCACGCCCACCTCTCCCTCACAGGGCACTGGTGTGATCAGTCAGGCCATTGGTGGACTCTCCTTCAAGCCAAGGTGATGGATGAGTCCCACACAACAAGGGAGATCATGGTGGCCATCATGAATGACATGTGCCCCTGACAGCTGATAGAGGTGCTTGTGAATGGTCAGGGAGGCAGAAGGGCAGAAGCAAGGGAACGTGGAAGAGAGGGATTCACTTTCCCATGCCAGCACTCCCAGCACCAGCACCAGCCAGTCTCCTCCATGCCAGCCGCTGCCAATGTGGGCCAAGGGCATGGCTTCAATGTTGGGGTCCAGACACACCAGACCCCAGCCTCACACAGGTAGCGCCAAGGCTTTGGTGGCTACCTACCTCACTGAGGATTTGGAGCCGCTGGACTGTGATCCCTTGGCCTACTGGGCAACTCACAGCCAGATGTGGTAGGATCTGGCCACGGTTGTCCAGGAACACCTGTCCTGTCCACCAACCAGTGTTCTGATTGAGAGGGTATTTAGCATTGCTGGGGATGTAAATTCCTTTTGAGGATCAGGACATAGACTGGAGAGAGTGGGTTTTTTTGTGAGAAATGTGCCCCCCACAGGTAGTTGGGTATTCTTGTCTGTAATAGATTCTGGTGCAGTTTGTGGGGGTACTGGAGATATGTTGGCAGGTTTTGCATTTCTTGTCATGGCACGGTCTGGATCCATTCACTGCGTTTTGGGCTGTAGGAAGTTTGCTTTCTGGTGATGAGGTTAGCGAGGTTTAGTGCTTGTTTGAATTTACAAACCACTTTTCACAGGTGAGCCTATGAACTTCACTTCACCAACCTCCTAGATACAGAAACTCATGGACTCAATATACACATTGGATTTATGACACTACAACCTGCCTGGCATACTCCCCAGGTAGCAGCAGGTACCTCTCCACTTTTACCTGCTACATCCCTCTTCCCACCTACCCCAACCTGTCTCTCTCCCCCTGACTCCTTCATTTCCATTTTCACTGATTGGCTTTCTTGCCTGCATTGCATGCCAGCCTCCGGCTTTTTTTACTATTCCTTCCATCCAGGAAGAGTACACACATCAACTGCAGGTGCTTCCTCAGCCTGAGAAGGGAGACCTGGGTGGGACTGCCAGTGGCATGGCAGCCCCAGGAAATTCCAGGATAGTCAACTTCCCTGGTGAAAGGAGGAGCAGAAGGCACCTGATAACTTCCAGCTGCTGCAGTCCTGGCTGGGGAAAGCCCAGACCTGTAGGTTCTGTGTCTTCCACATCTGCCAAATCCAAATCCGAATTGAATACTTCCCTATTCACACAGGCCTAAAAAATATAATCATTATGATCTAAGACACCATACAGTTACATAGCGAGAAACAAGTGCTGTGTTTCCCAGTGGAAGGCAGAGAATCTTCACTAATGACATGTTTTTAATAACCTTAATGTTTTAGAGCTACATAGCCATGAGACTTCAAACCTGTCTGTCCAGGATTTATCATAGTCATCAGAGGTCAGTTTAGTTTCAGTGAGAAATTTCCATATTCAACTTGCACTGGGAAGGGGGAAAAAACCAATTATTAGTTTGCTATCCCAGACTAAATGTAGTTGATTGGGTATTCATAATGCTGACAAAAGGGTTCCAGAAGAGAGAAAATGAAAACGTAGTGAAGTGGTTCAAAGGTGCATGATAAATGCAAGTTATAGGATGGCTATGAAGTTTGCTATATACACACAAGCGCACATAAGAAGGTGATGGCTTACCGAGGCTTACGTAACGATTCCATAGCTAAGGCTGTGTCAAGACTGCACTTACAACTGAAGGGTAAATATTTTTATTTCGCACTAATTAGAAGTGAATTAACATTTTAAACTCAGCATAACTTATCTCAATAAGACCTATTTAACTTGCTACATAACTTACCCCATTATCCAGGTTTCACTCCTTTTACCAACTTCTAAAATGTTCAACCTTAACTCTGACCACCAACTTACATGACTATAAAATTACAAGCTATATATCCTTGTTTTATCAATTATATATCTACAAACTTTGGTAACAACTTCCAAGTGTGATAAATATTTATTTCAATTTTTTCAGTTTTAAAATAATTCATTCCTTTCATTAATGTTCACAGTATACAAATATAACCATCAGCTAAAATCTACAGCATGTACACTACCTAATGCAGCACAGTAACAATTCATCATTCCAAGTCAGAAAGCTTCTGTTTCTAATCACTCAGCATGGTCTGAGTCTTACACAGCGTTTGGAGGTGAAGAGGAGAGTGTGTGTTGTGTGGTAACTTGGGGAAGATGAAGTAACAGCTGTATGAAACTTAGGTGAAAAATATTGTATGATTTTTAATAAACCTGTTGTGGTTTGTTCAGAAGGGGGGACATAAGAGTGCACATGTAATAGTGTGCAAAAACTATGATTTTGTCTCTTTCTTTTAAAGAAAAATGTATTTCTTCCCCTTTTAACTTTAACGTTAAAAGGTCTGAAACAGGAAAAATAATTATTAAAACCCTACAAGAGTTAAGGGAAAGAAAAAGGGTATTTTACATACTATAAAGGAACAATGCAGTATTGGTTGTATGAAGTTCAGCAAGCAGCTGAATACCTGCATAGAGTTCAGAGAGAAGTGTCCTCTTCCCTCATTTTAAAAAAAAGTACTCTTCCTGAAGGATGCTGTATTGGCACCATACCTTACGCTGGAGTAGAGAAACAGCTTCTCAGAGAGCCAATTCCTTTGTCACTTAATGGTTTTACTGAAAAAGGTATATTGACAGTAGAGCAAATTTTCCCATTGCAGCAGGCCATACCGTGCCCTAATGGAGAGCGTAAGCTGGTGGCAAGTCCTGAGGCAGGAATGGATTCTGACTTTGATTTTGTGAAAACTGGTTGTACTGTTAAGAAATTTGCTTCTAATTTTAGAGGTGGTGGTGGTGGGAACATACAAACTGCAAAAGGCTGTCCTGGAAATTGAATCTGTTCAGGAAAGATTTGTTACAGCAGTGATATATCAAGCTGTTACATTAAGGAAAATGAAGAAAAACATGTTTTAGCCTTTTGCTCCCCCGGTGAGATGTTTCTGAAAAAGAATTAAGATGTACAGTTCTAGTGATTATGGTTTCCCATCCAGATAAAACCTGTATTTCAAAAAGAAGCATATCACGCCCATGCTGATGATTCTTCATAGGTATGTGCCTCACTTTTTAAAAAAATAAAAAAGTGGTAAGAATAGATACTGTTGTCTCCAGGTACATCCACTCAGAACTTTAACTTTCTCCAGAATAGTTTTGGTTCAGCAAACGCCATCTTCCATCCCAGATCATCAGCCAATAATATGCCAGCACTTTATTTTTAGCGATACTCACTTAAAATTCTAATTGCTTATCTTCTGTATCAAGCACAGGAGAAAAATACACACTGCTTGAATCTGACAGGCCATTTTCAACCTTTTTTAGTAGGTGTACCCCTGGAGGCTGGACATGGAGCTGGAGGGGAGGTGGTGTGCAGTCGGACATGGAGCCCAGGGGGCGGGTCCTGACACGCAGCTGGACATGGAGCCTGGGGCAGGGGGAGGGGGCAGCGTGTGGCTGAAGTGGTGGGAAGCGGCAGCAACCACTGCATACGAGCTTCCCCCACCCCTCTGTGTGGCTCACAGAGGGGCACCACTGCCATCGCCATCCCCTCCCTTGCCCCCACCTGCACATACCCCTTACGGCCCTCCCAAGTACCCCTGGGGGTATGCATACCCCCAGTTGACAACTCCTGATTTACACTACTGTCCACTTGATTAGCAATCACTTATTAAACTGGTCCATATGTCATTTTTCCGAGGAAGGCAAGGACAGTTAAGATACTGACTCTCCATTTTAAATAAACAGTATTTTACCTTGATAGATTATAAAAGAGTAGATGTAAAAAGTACCATTTACAGACCATAATTTCTAAGCCTGTCAAGTACAAGCCCTGAGCAGGTCACCATGGGATACCCAGCTGGGCTACCTCTCATGGACTGAGGAAAAAAATGTCAGTAGGCACTCTGGCAGCAACAGGAGCT